TAAATGACCTAATACTTTTAAAAAATCTAAACGTAATTTTACTTATATATTTCTTGTTTGATAATATGTTTTAAAGCGTTTTTTAGATTATTCATGAACTAAGTTGGGTATATAAACGAAAGTAATATTAGTAATATAAATGTAGATTACATAAACGTAAAGTAATAATGTCGACTTTAATTGAAAAACTTTGCTTACGTGTAATAATAGAAAAAGATAATATATATTAAATTGAATCATTTATTTTAATAATTAATAAATATAATAATAAGTATATTTTCATCGGCATTAATGTAATTATGTATTAATTTAGGAAGTTGTAATATCTCATTTCCTTATCTTTCGTTTAACAATCTTATTTGTTCATATTTTTACTTATATATAAAATTGTTGCTTTTTCAATGGTTTATAATTTCATGATTATTTTTTAACATTAATTAAGAAAATAAAATTCATGTAACAACTCTCACGATTTCATATTAACTTTTTGCTTATAAAAAAAGATTTATTTTAAATTGAATTTAATTTCACTAGTCAATTTATATTTAAATGAAAGTGTATATTTGACTTTTTTTTTCTTGTATGTATAAATGTTTTTTTTTTTTTTATATCCGTTAATAGAGTTTGCGCAGATAATTTTACTCATTAACTTCTGAGATTCATCAGAATATAATTATTAATATGTTTTTAAGCATCTTGTTTAATGATTAACGGTACCAATTTCCATGTAATAATACCTATAATTTATAATTTACGTTACATTGTGTAATTAGAAAGTTCTCGTCGATTTATTGAAATAGTAATTGCATTACATAAAAATATGAATACCGAAAAGAATTTCACAAGTACTTTGGAATTCTTTGGAATAAACAAATTTGAGAGCAATTTTTCAATTAAGCAAAAATATACTTATAAGAATATATAAAACAAACTTATATGAATTATACTTATATGTCTTTATTTCGATTGAAAAATACGAAATATTCGTTTATTCTTCCTCAATTGTTATGCTAATGAGCGTTATTTTGAAAAAATAAGACTATTCCATCTTCAATTAAAATTTGATTGAAACGTAAAATCTAACGAAACTATTGCTAAATTCGTAAAAATTATTATCCCATTTTGAAGTGAGACTTAGTACAAGCAAATACTGTACAATACGTATTATGTGTGTGCGTGCGCGCGCGTTTGCATATATACACATACATTAGAGTAATAAATAATGTTTCTGAAAGCTAAGTGCCAATATTGACAGCAGTTTTTTTTTATTATTAAATATATTATATCTCTCCATTTCTCTTATATCATCATTCTTATTCGTGTAATCATCCTTTATCAAGTGAACCCGGTAGTTGATTATTGAATTTTCTCCCTTTTTCTTTCATTTCTTTTTCTTCTTCATACAATATAAAATCAATCAAACCAAAAATAACTGGCTTTTATATACCAGATTTTAATCTTCGGTTATGTTGCCTCCTGCTGTCAAAGTCAATCAACCTGTCTTATATACACTTTTGCTCTATCTTAAAGCTAATGTACGAGTTATTTGTTGATTGTACAAAAAAAAAAAAAAAAAAAAAATCGTGTCAATCATCATAAATTGCTTTTGAGCAATATAAATGTATACCATAATTATAAGAAAATTAGACTGGCAAAATTATATGAAAATTTCGGGAAAGTCGATAGTTTAAACGATAATTTGTAATAACAATATTAATAATATGCGTCATCGTTTTATGAACTCTATATGCTCTATTATTGTCTGCTGATAATATTTACTCTTACCTCGCATTATTTATTCAATAAATTGTCGATTAACATTATATATTTGACGTTGTGGAATAATTTAATAACTGCATAATCGTTGGCTTTCTTATTATACGCCGTAGAGGCATAAATCAAGGAGACTTTTGCGATATTAACTATGAAATGGAATTAAAAAGCCAAACGCTTAAATGCAACAAATAACGAGAAATTATAAATTGACATGCTAATATATTTGCGCTCAAAAATTTCATATAAAAGTACAGGGAAAATGTTTCCAATGATACGATCAAATTAACATAGTGAGCACTGGCGAACGATAAATTTTCATTAGACCAATACATCACTGCCAGACGCACTATAATTTCATTTTGTTAATGAAAACCGAGCGAATGAGTTGCTATTAAGTATCGAGCTATTGTAATTTTTATAACTACCAAATGAATTTATATACACTTTATGTAATATTAGACGGGCTTATTAATAATGGCCAATTTAACAATGATCTTTATTTAACTAATTGGGATGATAAAAGAATAGAAGTCGGAAATCATTTCGGATGTAAAAATTTGCGGCAAAGACCCTTACGGCGAAACATTTGCCAGGCATTAGTAGAAAATGTTTCATTTAATAATTCTATGCAAGCAAAGGTAACTAAATTCACATACTGAAATACTTGCGCAACCAAAGTGGAGAAAAAAGGCTGAAAGTGGCGGTTTGCGCTCATTTACACCGCTTAAGCGTTTATTCGTTGTGTAATTAAAAGCTGAACTGCGGCCACAAAGACTGTATAAGAAGTCGATGGAACGAGAGAAGGATATAAAGGCTGTGTGGATGGTGGGTGGATGGTGGGTGGATGGTGGGTGGATGGTGGGTGGATGGTGGGTGGATGGTGGGTGGATGGTGGGTGGATGGTGGGTGGATGGTGGGTGGATGGTGGGTGGATGGTGGGTGGATGGTGGGTGGATGGTGGGTGGATGGTGGGTGGATGGTGGGTGGATGGTGGGTGGATGGTGGGTGGATGGTGGGTGGATGGTGGGTGGATGGTGGGTGGATGGTGGGTGGATGGTGGGTGGATGGTGGGTGGATGGTGGGTGGATGGTGGGTGGATGGTGGGTGGATGGTGGGTGGATGGTGGGTGGATGGTGGGTGGATGGTGGGTGGATGGTGGGTGGATGGTGGGTGGATGGTGGGTGGATGGTGGGTGGATGGTGGGTGGATGGTGGGTGGATGGTGGGTGGATGGTGGGTGGATGGTGGGTGGATGGTGGGTGGATGGTGGGTGGATGGTGGGTGGATGGTGGGTGGATGGTGGGTGGATGGTGGGTGGATGGTGGGTGGATGGTGGGTGGATGGTGGGTGGATGGTGGGTGGATGGTGGGTGGATGGTGGGTGGATGGTGGGTGGATGGTGGGTGGATGGTGGGTGGATGGTGGGTGGATGGGTGGGGGGGGGGTTTGACGGGTTTGCTTACATTTCTTATTTTTAGCGAGGTTTTGTTTCTGAGACATACATTGAATTTGGGTTGGTAGAGGTTGGGTTGCATTGACGGAAACCGAGGTTATGCAACGGGAGGTATTCCGGCAATCGATATTGCGTGTATTCAGTGTCCGTGCTCGGGTTCGTCGCTAATGCGCCATAATTAACGAGATTTTCTCTATTTCTGTCTCGCCCTTATGCGATCGACTGCCAAAGAATCCAGCGACGCATTGTTTGTCATGAGCCCGCGAATTGGTGTGGGCAAGTTAAGGAGGGAGGGTCGTCGCGTTTTCTATTTGTCGACTTGGCTTGAGAATATTTTCCATAATCCAGGCCATCGATACGGTGGATAATAAGTGATTGCGAGATACACTCACTGCTTTCGACAATTCTGATGTCCAGCTTATGATGAATTAGCATACGTTGGGAAATATGATATTGTTGTGGGGCTACAGCTCAGCAACAACAGAGAAATCATCGATAAGCATTATTTACAATTTTTCAGCCCCGAGTCTCGTACGTATTTTACGCCTTATGAAATCATGATTGTGGATTTATTTTCTTAAACGTGAGAATATTACAATGTGTATAATCAATATTTCATCGCGCCGTTAACACATAGGTGAGCTAATCAAGGCCAATTATTAGACGGCTAAACATTTCCAAGCCTCAAAGACAATGAATGGCCACAACGTTGATTCCCAAGAATATTATAGAAAGTTATGATGTATTATATAAAGTTGAAATCATAAGTTAGAAACGCTATCTTAAGCAGGCTTTCTGCCTTATCACGCTATCTAATTGAAATAATTAATTTAGAGAAACTCGAGCAAAGCTTATCCGTGGCAACGCACAAGCCGTATTTTATTTTATGTTATTGTATTTTTTTTTTTTTTTTTTTTTTTTTTTAAATACATATTAACGATAGAGTTTTCAGTGCTCGTTTCAGCACTTTAAGCTATTGTAATTTCGAACGATCGAGTAACATTTCTTATGACGGATACTGTATTGATATTGCTTTATTAACGAAAGCTACTAAAACTGTTATTAGAGAAGTTATTTATTACAAAATAAGAAATTAACGTAAATTTTCGTAATCAATGTCCCTAGAATAATGTTGTCGTTTAGTAATATAAATTTAAATTGCCAACAGCATAAGAAATATCTGATAATCGCACTCTTGTATATTATTTCTCCTATATAATCTCCTATATACTATATACTCTTCATTAATTCCAACGATATATCATATAACTATTGAATAATCGATCGAAAGCTGATATTTCTGAAAATATTAGATATTTAGTAAAAGTCGTGAATTAAGTATTGTAAAATGGCAAGGGCAAATGTTTTTCAGCATGAACGGAGTATTATTGAGCTTTCAGCCATTCAATAATAATGACATTAATATCCACAGTAGTAAATAAAAATTGTCATTTTGTGATTAATATTGTAATGGCCACCGATAATTCACAGTTTACAACAAAAGTTTCTCACTCAAAAAATGTTTCACTGCAACTAGAGTCATGAGAGACAATCATTGAACAAATCGATCATTTCAAGCATCGAGGCAACGATGGAATTATTCATCCCATCCTTTTATTATTTTAACGCATCCATATAGCACATTAATAAAAGAAGAAGAAGAAGAAGAAGAAGAAGAAGAAGAAGAAGAAGAAGAAGAAGAAGAAGAAGAAGAAGAAGAAGAAGAAGAAGAAGAAGAAGAAGAAGAAGAAGAAGAAGAAGAAGAAGAAGAAGAAGAAGAAGAAGAAGAAGAAGAAGAAGAAGAAGAAGAAGAAGAAGAAGAAGAAGAAGAAGAAGAAGAAGAAGAAGAAGAAGAAGAAGAAGAAGAAGAAGAAGAAGAAGAAGAAGAAGAAGAAGAAGAAGAAGAAGAAGAAGAAGAAGAAGAAGAAGAAGAAGAAGAAGAAGAAGAAGAAGAAGAAGAAGAAGAAGAAGAAGAAGAAGAAGAAGAAGAAGAAGAAGAAGAAGAAGAAGAAGAAGAAGAAGAAGAAGAAGAAGAAGAAGAAGAAGAAGAAGAAGAAGAAGAAGAAGAAGAAGAAGAAGAAGAAGAAGAAGAAGAAGAAGAAGAAGAAGAAGAAGAAGAAGAAGAAGAAGAAGAAGAAGAAGAAGAAGAAGAAGAAGAAGAAGAAGAAGAAGAATTAAACTAGGTAGGGGGAAAAAAATCATTGCTTTTCTTTATTTCAGATAAACATAATTTAAAGAGAAAGAGCATTAAATTAAATATCCTTTATTTATTTATCTCTTGCAATCAAAAACATTCAATTCTTCAAGTTCATGTAACAATAAAAATTTACGTCTGCTTGTATCGAGCATTAAAGTCGAATGGTCAGATACATGTACACATGTATAAGCGCGCCTGACAGATATGGCTTTCCATTACATTTTATGAGCTTTAACTGCGTTCTCTTTTTAATCTATACCCATTCAAGTGTAGTTTTGCACGGCACTTTAGGTGTAATTTCAACAACAGATATGAGTTATATTATTTTTCAATAACAATTCGTAACATAACTTATAATATAATGCAAACAATATTATGCTCGATAAAATTCCTAAAAAGAACTTTCGTTTTTTCCTGACAGCGGACCGTAATTATTTTTCAATATGTTTGACCATTTTTCTTTTATACTCTCGTATTAACCAATAGACGTTACGCCAACAATTGTCCTCTTGTTTTAATTCTGTGCGACGTAAAATGTTTCAAGATGGCTGAATGATAAACAGTCCTTAAGCCGAGTTCTCGAGGAATCCAAAAGTACAAATATTCTATAAAAATATATCCATCGTACAAGGACCATTTTCACGTTAATATTAAGAGTCTTTAATACGTTTGTAAATGCGCGCGTTGCCGTGGCTGCGATTAACTTACAAAATCGAATAAAAATTAAATTATTTATGCTTTATTAGCATGTTTAAAATTTTCAAAAAATTGATGTACTTCGAGTTACCTATAAAGCTTCAAGATCTACACAAGTACATTCTATTGTATACGGTAAAAATATAAATAATTAAATATAAAAATTGCTCGGTTATTTATATTTACATTGATTATTTATCTGATTGCATGTTACTATAATGTACAATCAATCGAGAATTAAAATGTGACGTTCATAATAAATATTTTAATACTAATGAACTAGAACAAAGTATCGATAATATAACATTTTTACTTTTAACATCGTATAAACACATTAGATGATTAATCAAAATAAATGAAATCATGCAACTTGATATCTATCGGCATAATTGATGACTATAACCGATACACAAGGAGAGAAAAAAAAAAACATAAATGAATGAATAATTCTCGATAATAAATATAATTGTGATTTATGAATCATTCTTGACGATAGAAAATGAATTTTATAATTTTATTATATTAATTATTGATTAAATCAGCAGTTTAGCCAGCAACGCAATGCGTTAACCTTAAATTACAAATTTTATTATCCGTCCTTGCTCTCAATAAGCATAGACATAAATATATTTTTATAAAGTACATTTCAGTGGCTGCATTCACGAGTGTAGAAAGAGGAATGGATTAATGATCGAGCGATCGAGCATAATAAAAATAAATCATACTGCTAAGTTTAAAAGTCTCTTTTCTCCCTTTATAAACTATGACACGATAATTCGATCGTTCGAATCCATTTTGTCGAAATTTTTCAATCAACATAACCACTTATATTATTACTAAATCTCTCCCCCCCCCCACACACACACACACACAACGCAGCATTGGGTTAAATTAAAATTTTAGAAATGTATACTTCTCCAACGATCTTCCGCGATTTCTTCAATGGCCTTATCATTCTAATACCCGTAACGTAGAAAATGTTGTTATCTAATACTTTCTAAATTATATATTAACTTATTATCTTGGCTATTATGACTGTTTAGGTAACGTACATTTCTTTAATTGAACTTTCGAACGTCTTCAAAACTTTAATAAAATATACACTCGTACATATTTGATTAAAGAGTAATTAAAATGTTTCTAAAAGAATTACGTAATAGTGAATTTATGAGGTAAAGAGTACATGATATAATATTCGATCCCATGGGGAAATTGTATAAAATTTGAACTTTCAATTGGAAAGGAAAAAGCGTCTTAAACTAATAAGAGAATCCGAACTATTGTAACGATAAAATGCTAATGACGTTAGATAAAATTGTTAATATCGCTTCGGAGAAATCATTATGAATACAGCATAGTGCTGGTAAAATACAGGCGTATAGATGACATTTTCATGACAATTTGATACTCCAAACTTTTGAAAAATTAGCCTGGCTACATCGTAACATTGAATAAATAAAGTGTTAGTAATAAAGAAATATACACTAAATAAAATGAACAAGTAGTTGCAATTTATTCTGCTCTAACGACATTACGTAAGTCTATATTTACTTATCAATGCAAATAATAGGATGAAGGTGCTCATTATTGAAACTTTATAAGTGGCTGGAGTGGTTCGATACACCCAAGATCCCACCAACGAGGTCAACTTCCCCACTTATACGATGCCTCGGTGATTCAGCTTCTGGAAGTTAATTGCCTGAGTTGATTGGTAGACCAGATGATTCAGTGAATTTAAGATAAGCAATTTGGAATTAGTCCTAAGATACAGAGACATCTGAGTTTAAGCGCAGATCATATTGCTGATGGGAATTCGCATCGCATTAACGTGACACGAAAGATTTATCTATCAAATTACGAATAGTTCGATCATGGAGGCCTTAATGGAAAAAACTTATATAAATTGACCTTCCATTATCGTGCGCATGACAGTGGGACGGGACAAAGGGCTCAAAAGGGTTCGTTTTTACAATTTCAACTTTGGTAGTTTTTGATTAGTGGAAATTGTATAAGTTTTTCCTGAAAATTAACCTCGCTATTCGCCATAAGTATTCCACATTTTTAGAAATTATTTAAGTACGTTTAATATGTTTTCTTAAATGTACAACGTAATCAAGTTCTGGTCTGCGAGTCCACTGTCTTTAATGTAAGTGTGCGTAAAATTTCACGTACATTTGCAGAAATACAGA